TCGCCTTCGCATGCAAGGACAGCTCCGCCAAGTACGTCCTCGAGCAATACGAGGAGGGCGTCAAGGACACCTACGACGAGTTCGACGGTGTGCTGGCCTTCAAGAGGCTGAAGGCAAAGATGGAGTCCAACCCCGCCTTCGCCGAGTTCTCAGCGCAACGTGAGTTCGACGCGTTCGCCTGGGACATCAAGAAGTCGGCCCTGGACAACAACGCCGAGTTCAAGCGTCTGGCTGGCAAGGTCAACGCGCAGAAGGAGGTGCTCACGGCCACAGCGCTCAAGCACGCCTACATCAAGGTGGTGCCGACAGCCTACAAGCTGCCGATCAGCGAGAAGATCATCAAGAGCGACGTCACCGTCGACGACGCCATGGAGAGGGTGCGCAAGCTCGAGACAGCTGCAGCGATCATCGGGGCATCGCCTGGGCAACACGCGAGTATGGGCGTCGGTGCGGCCACGACGCCAATGGACGTTGATGAGGGCGCAAGGGCGGCTGGTGATGGTGAATCCATCAACTGCAAGTACTGCCTCAACGACGGCTACCACCACTCGGACTGCAAGCGACTGACGCACAACAAAAAGATGTACGGCATCACCCTCTTTCCGAGCAGCCACCGCATGAAGCGCGCTGCAGAGCTGCTCAACAGCCAGCTCGAAGAGGTCGAGCGCAAGGAGAAGCAGCGCGTCATCAAGGACAACAACAAGGGCAAGAACAACAAGTACAACAAGGGACATGATGGTGGTGTGCGTCATGATCGACATCGTCAGCGCGAGGCGCCACGAGACGACGAGCGGAATGCTGACCGACACAGACGCAATCGCTCACTCACACCGGTACAGGGGAGAGAGGAGGAGCACACACACGTGCATGCTCTTGACGTGTGTGTATGCTCTTGAAGAGAGGCAGCACAGAGAGATGCACACACGGTTGGATGGCTGCAAGGTCTCAGAATCCTCGCGTGATGTGGTGATGCCACCGGTCGGGAACGATCGACACGCTGAGATGACACACGACACACTGACATGCTTGTCTGGGGAGAGAGCCGTGCGTAGGGGAGGGAGATCGGGTGAAGCCTGATCAACTTCTGCCGGTCTCCACTTCCCATCGACTCGCAGCTGAGGAGGGGGTTCCCTCAGTTGTCCAGTGCACAACACACATTGCAATGCTCCTCCATCGACCGACTGACCTCTGGGTGGTGCCTGTAGTGGATGACATCCTCTGCGCCCCCATGTCAGGCCGCGACGCGGACGCCGATTGGTTCCGTGAGCTCCTCAACCGCGAGTACGGCATCAAAGACCTGGGAAAGGCAGATGTGTTTGTGGGCATCAAGATTGAGCGTGATCCGCTCACCGGCGAGATGAAGCTCTCGCAGCGGGCGTACATCGAGAAGATCCTCAAGCGCTTCCGATGGGAGCATTGCAACCCCGCATCAACACCAGTGGCGAGCGGAGTGAAGCTCAGCAAAGACCACTGCCCCAGCACACCTGAGGAGAAAGAATGAAGCGTTTCTATGCAAGCCGTGTATCGGCAGGCGGTGGGAACACTGCTGTACCTGGCTGTGACGACGAGGCCCGACATCTCGTATGCAGTCAAGGAGGTGGCGATGTACTGCCACAATCCAGG